ATCCCGATCCCGATCCCGATCCCGATCCCGATCCCGATCCCATCCCAGTCCCCTCAGGCCGCTCCCGGCCCTGCCGGGACTTCTTCCCGTCCGCTGCTCTCGCGAGACAACGCCGTCGGTGCGTCACGCGCCCCGCGCGCGCGCTCTGCGCTTCTCTCCTCCGGCCAGCCCGCCGCCGTATCCTTCCGCGCGCTTCCCCTCCCCCTTCTGGAGAGTTCTGCACGGCGGTGCCGCACGACAAATAGTTCCCCGCCGCTCCCCCTCCCCCCCTCCACACGCCCCTCTCCCAGCCCCTCCTCCTCCCGCCGGTGCCGCTCCGGCCTCCCCCTTCTGCCCCATCCCCCCCCTCCGCGCCGGTAACCGGCAGCGCGGCCCGTGGAGGGGGGGGAAACGGTGGCGGCGGAGTGATCCGCGGCAGGCGACGCGGAGGCAGCGCATAAAGCGGCGGTGGCGGAGGGAGAGGAGGAGCTGCGGTACCGCTGAGCCCGCGGCCGCCACCGCCCCAACACCGGCTCGGCCCCGGCCCCGCCGCCCCCGGGGGGCCCCGGTCCCCTCCCTCCCCTCCGCTCTCTCCGTCCGTCCCCTCCCCGTCCCCTCCCCGCGCCGCGCCGCCGCCACCTCCGCGCTGCTCCTCCTCCTCCTCCCCCCTCCCCTCGCAAATAGTCCCGCGGGCCGCCCCCTCCCTCCGCCCGCGCCCCTCCTGCCGCCGCCTCGCGCACACAATGGCGCTGAAGAGAATCCACAAGGTAAGGGCCGCACGGCCCGGCCCGGCCCGGCCCCGCGCGGCCCCGCACCGCCCGCCTTACATAACCCCGCCGGGGCCCCGGGGCTGCCGCTCCGGGGGGGGTCGGGCCGGGCCGCCCCGCGCGGGGCTCGGGCCAGGCGGCAGCGCGGGGGCCGCTCCCGCTTTGTTCGAGGGGGGCCCGGCCCGGGCCCCTCCGGAGCAACGTGGCCCCCCGGGGCGGGGCGGGGGCCGCGAGGGGGCGCCGGTAGCGGGGCCGGGCCGGGCCGGGGGTGGTGCGGGCCCGGCGGCCGCTGCGGCCCCGCGGGGGCCCGGCCCGGCCCGGCCCTTCCCCGCGCTGGAAGTTCCGCCGGGGCCCGTCCCGGCGCTCCGGATCGCGGCCCCGAGCACGGTAAAGCTGTCACACGGCGCTCTGGTTTAGCTCTTCTAATGGAGCTGTGCTACCGCCTGAGTCATCCCGCAGGCTCCGAGGGGAAGCTACAGCCTTGCCTTCCCCTCCCCGGAACCCTGCTCCGTGTCCTGGCCTTTTGGGAAAACGCTGCTGCCCAGCTCCCCTGCCGTCTTGAAAGTGTTTGCTTGATCATCAGTGTCTTTTACCAGGAAAAAAAAATACTCGAGGGTTATTGGAGTCCAATTGTATATCCTTAGTGAATTTGTATCCTTTTCCCAGTGAAATGTGTAGCTGTCAGTTTGGAGTCTGTATACAAGGGTCAGGTGTAGAAAATACCCGTCCCATGGTGTTTCTGCTCTCAGTGACTACCTAAATCTAATTTTTGTCTAGAACCAGCTGCCAACCCCCCAGCACCCACTTAAGCTTAGATTGTAGCCCTGTTTGGTTTTCTGTGTGCTGTCGGGTCTGTGTTAACATCTCTGCTTTGCTTGTAGGTTACCTTGGAGGCTTTGTGAAGCTTCATGATCAGGTTAAAGCTCAGGTGGAGAAGAAAATGGAAGAGAGCTTGAAGCCTTGCTTTTGCTCGTGGAATAGGTAGCACTTGGAAGGGGAGGATTTGGAGTGTGGTTTTAAGGTGTTGGATTTTCCAGCTGAGGGTCCGGGACTGAGTTACATAAGGAAGTTGTGCTCCAGCTGAGTGCTGCTTGTCTGCAGTGTTCTGTCCCTTACTTTAGGGATCCCCCAGGTCCTGTGAGGACTGTTCCACAGTGTTTGTGGGCTCACAGGTGTTTGGGAATACTTCTTCCTCCTCAGGAGTGGGTCGATAGACCTGGGAGATATGGCAGTGGATGCTGACCAGGGTAAATGTGGCTGGGGGACACACCGGGCTGTTGTGGGGACAGTGAATCCCCTGTCAGGTAACTCAGGAAAGCTGCTTGGTTGTAGTTCAGTGCGAGCTGAGGGTCAGGAGTCAATGCTCTGAGAGCACTTTTGTTTCCAGGCTGGTTTGTGACAGGAGAGGAGCTGGATGTGTTGAGTCTTTGTTAACGTTGGGCGCTTGTGGACTGACTCTTCCTGCTGCTTTTCAAGGATTAAGAACCCCGAGGGATAATGAGGACTGTGTAGAGTTATGAGAGTCTTCAAAGTGCTGAAGCAATGCTGTGTGAGCTCTGCAAAGCACCAAGAGTTTCAGTGGAGTGAGTGTGGTGATGGCTGTGGAGGGGCTGGAGGCAGCATTTCCAGCAGAAAACCTGTGTGGGGGTAGATAAACTTGCCTGTTGTAGGAGCCCAGGTGCTTTAAAAGTTGGCTGGGAGTGGAGCTCCAGGCTGGAAGGAGCGCTCTGAGTTGCTGTGGGTGTCTGGCCTTGACTGCTCCAGTAATCATGGCTGGTTGTTTACGCTCTGGCTATTTTAAACCCCGTGGAGAGCTCTCCTATCATCATCTCCGGGTTGTTCTGGGCTCTGGGAGCGTGTGGTGGCCATCCCTGTCAGGATAACGAGGGGACAGACAGCTTCTGACCTTTGCTATTGCAACTTGTGGCAAGAGCAGGAGCCTGCAGAGTGTGGATCGAGTAGGAATAATGCCTGTGGAGTCGAGCACAGAGACGGGATGGGAGGGAAAACTGCTGCTCTGGCTTTTTTTGAGGGTGGTATCAGTCATGGTATATCAGTGTGCAGGGCTTGGTCTGGCCATTGGACCTTGCTCTTGGCAGTTTTGGTTTTATACTGAACCACAAAGGCCTTTCTGTGACGCTTTTTCCAAAATTTTTGTGTCCTCGGATAACATAGGGATGAGAACTTGGAAAGGAGGAGAAAATCCCGAGAGTAAACCTTTGATATAGTGTTACCTGAAATGGCCTCTTGCATGTTGAGCTACTCTGGGCTGGAAGAGGGGGCCAGAACAAGGAGTTTACACCGGGTGAACAGCATTGTTGCTGGTGTGTGAGGCAGCGGAGGAACCTGCAGGGTCTGCCCCAGCCTGTCCCTGTGGCACAGTTGCTCTTGGGATTGTCCAGAGGCTCGTGCTGGGATAACGTGTGTGCATGGAGCAGCAGCTGTTCTCTGAGCAGATGCTCCAAAAGAGCTCAGCCTGGGTGAGACCTGCTCTCAGATTGCTGCCTGTGTTACTCACTGCAGTATTTTGGGCAGTGGGGCTGCAGATTCTTGTTTGGGTGCCTTTACTGGCTCACAGGCCTGAAAGTTGAAATCCTTTCTTGTAGACATGTTTGGGGTGTAAGCAGGGGTGCCAGGCAGAGTCCTTGGGATAACAGTGAAGTGCAGCAATGTAATTGTTGTTTGTACATAACAATTATCTGCCTTATCATGGGTAAATTCATAAGAAATGGAGAGTGAAGCAATCCAGGGGCAGGATGGGAGGGATACAGGAGGGCCAGAGTGAATGGCTTCCATTTTAAGGTTTAAGCCGAAGCACTTTGGATTCAGCCACGTCCCCATCTGTGTTGCTTATCTGTAGGGAATGCAATACCTATAACTGGATAACTAGGGCAGTGTTTGGAGTTCTTTGAATGGGAGAGCAAGGGAAAGGTTAGCTCATTGTCTTCCCTGGGCTCCCCTGTGTGATCGGCGGGTGAGGGGGAAGGGAAGGCAGCAGCTGTGCCTGAGCCCTGCTCAAGTAAAGCATTTTCTGTAGCAGAGGAGTGGTGGATTACTGTTGCTTGTACTGTAGAGGCCCAAAAACCAAGTAATGCTTCACAGAACTAAACTCTGACTTCCATTAGTTCCTGCTCAGCTGGGGAGGAGGGTGGTGGTAGTTGCTGTAGTCCTGGAGTCCAGAGCTGCCCGACCTCTGGGGATGCTTAGGCGTCATTTCTGCCAAAATGAGCCCTGCCCATGGGTGGGATGTGAGGTCAGTGGTGCAGTTGGTGTGCAGAGTTGTAGTTGTGCTACCTGTGCTGAGCAAACTCGGTGTTATTTCAGTGCTCCCAGTTCTGTACAGCAGCCAGTGGGAGCAACTGGGTTCTTCCGTTGGGCCTCGCTGTGTGTGTGGAGCTGCCAGCACAGCCCATCTGTGGTGGAGAGCTTGTGTACAGGGAAGGCTGGGAGGCTTCTGTTAGCTGGAGAGGTGTTTTGATACTCAGACTCTACCCCAGGAGGAAGTTATACATTGCTTTGGTCTTCTTCCTGTGCAGGCTTTGAAAAAAATAAAGAAGGAAAGGTGACAGTTACATGAGAGTGTGTTTATAACACTTACCTTGGTTATTGCTGTGATCGTGAGTCTTTTCGTGCTGCTCAGTTGCCTTCTGACTTCTGCAGTCTTGGAAGGAGTCAAAGTTGGAGGATCTGAGCCGCTGCAAGCATTGCAAAAGGAGTTTCTGTCAAAAGGGAAGGATTAAAATGCTGCTATTAATCAGGATAGCGGCATTAGAATGGCAGATGCTCGGGAATCGTAGTCTGCAGGCAGGAGAGCCCCTGTGGATGTGGCAGGGAATTGGTGGCCTGACCTTGGTGCACACGTGAGAGCACTGCCTGGTACTGCTGGGGGAGAGGAGCTGAGGGAAGTGCCAGGTGGAGCCAGGCTCTGGCACCTGGCAGGGAGGTGCTGCTGGTCCAGGGAAGGTGCAGAGGCTGTTCCCACCCTCCTGCCCTGTGGGTCCTGCACAGGGACTGGCACTGCCCTCTGTGGTCCTGAGGTGAGGCTGGGTGTGATCGATTTGACTTTGGCCCTGATTCCCTATTGCTTGGCTCCGCTCTGTTGGGAGCTGGGAACAATTCATGGCTAAGTGGCTGTGAGTTCCTTTTTGGTTACATAAGTCAGGATTTTGTAACATCACCCTACACTGCCTGTTGCTGAAGGGTTTGGGGGCTTGGGGCAAGTAGACTTGCTGAAGGCAGATGGAAAGCTTCTTTCACTCACAGCAGCAACCTGAGGCAGAAATTAGGTTTATAATCAAGCTAATGATGCGACCTCTGAGTAAAATAGACTGTGAAAGCAGCTCAAACTGGAGCAGGGTGGAAAGCCCATGGAGTCCAAGCTAAGAGGACTTTGGAAAATCTAAAGGGATACATTTAGTGTGTTGGAGTGGATTTAAGGAGCTCTGCTATGTACCAAATAAAATTGCTGGAGCTGACTGCTAAAGGGTGCTGACTTTTTACTCACCTGATTGGCTTCTTGAGGTTGCCAGTTAGGTTGGTTATTCTTACTGGAGGCTGTATTAGCATTAACTTAATCCTTAAAACTAGTCTTCTGGCCAGAGCAGGTTTTACCAGGAATGTGTTAGACTGGGGAGGGATTTGTTGTCTAGAGGAATAAATTTGAACTTCTCTAACAAATGTCTTTGGAGCTTACAATTATAACTTGAAACATGTGCAGGGTTAAACTTCGAGACCTAAACCACTTGGGTTTGGTAGTTCTTTGAAAGCTTCTTGTGCAGTTTGTGAACTCCTGGATTGAGGTGTGTTTTCAAGGCAGTGTACAAGCTCCTGGGAAATGGGAGAACTCCAGGAGGGGAGGGATGAAGAGTAGTGTGGGGCTGAGCAAGGCTGGTGGCTCTGGTTTGCCTGTGAGCCCCGAGGCCTCGCTGGCAGCTGATGCCTTTCATGACTCATGAAGCACAGCTGGGGGGGTCTGTGGCATAAACACACTCCATCTCCCTTAAAATGCTTTCATGGAACCCCTGAGTAGGAGTTTGGTTTGTTGGGAACTTTGGAACACATTTAATTGGAGCCTAAACATCAGTTTCTTGTGTGACTTTTATAGTTTTTAGGGTATGTCCTTCATGGATTTAGTTGTAGTAGTTGCATTCAACTTGGCCTTTGGGCAGGACACCTTGAACCTTGCTTTGTGCTGTGCTTCTACTTCCTCATTTTTGTTGAGGGACTCATTAATAGCTGTGAGATGGGTCAGGTTAATGGTAGGATGGACAGCAGTGGGCCCAGCCCTGGGGGTGTTTTGCTGTAGGGGAGGTGGCAGAAACTTTAAATTCTGTAGGATGCCTTCAGCTAGAAACCCAGCTCGGGGTGAGGCAGCCCCTGGGAGCTGAGTAACTCAAACTGGAATTTGATCTAAAGGCTGCTTGAGCCTTCACTTGTAAGCTCCTAAAGCAAAACCTTCTTCGTGTGCTTAAGGACCAGAAACTGTCTGGAGTGGGAACTGGCTTCAGATTTTGTTTTAATATCAATGTGGTCAAGATCAGGCTTGATCACTGACCAGCCAGACTTCCTGGATCACAGGGGAATAGAACAGTTTGGGATCAGATCCGTGGAAGTTTGTAGATGGTACCAGACTGTAACTGAACCCACCACGTGCTACGAGCTCCAGTTTTATGGGAACTCTGGAGTCATTTGTTCCGAGTTACACAAACCAGCTGGTTCTCAGTCTCCCTCAGCAACAACATCTGGAAGCAAAGGCCTCGCTGGGTCGAGTGTTGTGCTTTTGCAGTGCCTTGGGAACTGCTCAGGAGCCTGCAAAAGGCAAAGTAACCTCTGGGACAGGTTTGGCTCTGCAGCAGCCATGGGTGCTCCTGTGTGTGTGCCTGGATAGATGCAGCTCCATTCCTGTCCTTAAACTTGGCTCTGCAGCTCTGACCAGGGAGTAGTGGGAGTCTTCGAAGCAGCTGGAAGGGAATGGTGTGTTAAAGGGATTATCCATGCCCTGCCAGGAAATCCATTTTGCCTCTCTGGTGGGCAGAGGCAGCTGGTGCCTGCACTCCAGAGGGGTCTTAAACTTCCTCATTGCTCTCCAAGCTGTTGTTCTACAAAATATGGGAGGTTTTGTGTTGCAGGGGCTTGAAATGGGAGTTGGTGCTAAACTTTTCTAGGCACAAGGAGCTTACACATTGCTTTTTACACGGGCCTTTTAATCTGTGATGTTTCACTCCGTGAATTTGTAGAGCAGAACCTGAAATGCCACCTTGTCACTGAGACGAGTGGTACAAGTGCTTGTTGTAAGTCATGGCTTTCCACTGAGATAATACCCAGGGCACCAAAGTATTCCTTTCTAGCTGGAACTGGAGATGTAGAAAATAAAATAGTATTTTGATGAGAAATGGAGCTGCTACTACCTGAACTTCACTGCCGCCTCTGTTGGAGAGTTACCTTGTGGTCCCACTGTTGAATCCAGTGTGGTGAAGCCCTTGGTGCATTTGGGCAGCAGGATACAGGGGGAATGTCAGGGCAGCTTTATGTGTATTCTGCTAACTGGTGGAGTGTGTGCCCAAGCTCCTGTTTGTAACCATTTCCCCTGTATAGTAGGGAAGCTGCATGTTGTGTGTTCATAAATATAATCCATGGTGGGCTGTGGTCCTACATGGAGAATGTGGATTCTTACAGCTGTGCCTTCCTAGTTTAGTGTATGCTTTGTACTGATGTATGAAACAGGATGAGAAGTGGCAAGGAATATTTTTTAATGAGTGTGTTTGTGATTTTGAATACCATAGCATTAAATTGTCTTTTCCAGAAAATTAGAGTCCAGTAGCATTTGGGAGTGGACTGTGTTCTATACAGCTTTAGGAAGAGTAGGTGTATTCCTGATTTTGAGTTTTCATGTGGAGACTCCCTTCATTGGCTGGACTGACCCCGAGGAAGGTGTGTGTAGTGTCTGCACCTTCCTGTGCTGCCCTGGTGGTGCAGGGTGTCTCCTGGCTTGCTGCTGCTGGAGCAACTCCCAAGGGCTTTCAGAGATGGCACATGGAGCACTGGAGATGTTCTCTCCACCTTCAGGATGGAGGAGGCTCTTGAGCAGGTGCTGTGTGTGCAGTGCCTGTTCCTGCCCAGTCTGTTCTGAACCACAAAGTGGAAGAAGCTCAGCAGGAGCTCCACAAAAGCTCCCATAGACTGGTGAGTCAGGAGATTTCCAGCTGGGCTCTTCAGCAGTTGGGAGCTTCTGAGAGCTGAACCAAACTCGTGTGTGTGTCAGGGAATGTGAAGCTTTGGATCTGCACTGCATCCAGAGGGGGAAACCCAGAGATTTACCTGTTTGATGTATGGCAGCATTCCGGGGTTGTAACTGGAGAGGGTTTGCTTAGTGATGGCCTCCCAGTTTCTGGGAAGTAGAAGCTGGAATTCCCAGAGATCATCTGTTCAAGAGCTTAATCACTCACTGCCTGTAAATAACAAAAGGCCTTTAAGTGACAAACCTCTTCCACTCCTGCTATCAGATTGTCTTAAACATTGTCCTTAAATGTTTTGTCTGCCAAAAGCCTGGTATGGAAACTTCACTGTGGACTGTTGCTGGGAGGTGAAAAGCTGAAGGAACAACGGACTGGGACAGCAGGGAAGTGTTTCCTGAGCACTAGATTTAGTTGTAATCCTTGTCTGGTGTGTGTTCAGCTTTCTAGACTGAGCTAGGACAGAAAAAAGCTGATATGTGTGGGCCTATCATGCAAAGCAGGTCAGTGGCTGAGCCAGAAATGGGGCAGGTAAAGTTTGTCTTTAAAGTTTTACTCTATTTTCACTTCCCAGTAAACATCCACTTCCTGAGAAAATGGCTAATGTGAGTTGCTGGTAACAGTAATTCTCTGAACTGTGCTAAAATGTTGCTTCAAATTGAAGCTTGGTATAATTCAGGAGTACTGTGAATTACTCAGCCCACTCAGACTCATAATGGGATTTTTTCAGAGGAAAATTTGACTGACACAGCCACTTGAAAAGTGAGGGTTTCCATTCAGGTCTGTAGGTAGGGAAGGCCTTGTGTTTTATTCCATTTCCCCTGCCCTGTGGTCAGTGATGTGTTTGTGTGGAGGCAAACCAGCCCCAGGTTACTGGAGCTGTGTGTGCTGCAGGCAGGCTGTGGAGGTGATAAACTGGATCACTGTAGCTGGAGCAGTCTGGGAACTGTTACAATAGAGGGGATAAAATAAGGCTGATACAGAGAGTTGTTGGATTGAGGCCACCTTATCTCCCTGTGACCTGGGGACAGTGGAGGATATAATGCCTCAGTAATGCTGGGACAGTGCAGGCAAACCCAGCAGACCCTGTGACATGGTGAGATTGCTGTGACTCCGGGTCTGGGCAGCCTGGACAGGTCACTGAGGCAGGTGCCAAACGTGGCTCCTGTGTTGAAGATGCAGCTTTACTTTCCAAAATCCTGGCTGTTAGTTTTGTGGCGCTGCCAGAGTTGCCACCAGCAGCTTTTTAGCAATAACATGGTTGTTTTTGAAACGAAATGAACTGAACTCTTCCTGTTTTGTAGGAGTTGAACGATCTGGCACGTGATCCTCCAGCACAGTGTTCAGCAGGGCCTGTTGGGGATGACAGTAAGTATCCTGCTCTCAGCAGACACCTGCACTCTGCCACTTCTTTCCTTCTAAAACAGGATGTCCAGCACTTCAGCAAGGAGAACCCTTCTGTTTCTTCTGGTTAGAGCACTAGATACTGCTCCCCATCCTGATATGAAATTTGTTGCTCTTCTGTATCCCTTTAACACCTTCCTTGTGTATCACTGATGCTGCTCCCACTCTATTAATTGGACATCTCAATGCATATCTTAAATTACACCTTTTGAGTTAACTGTTCTGGAATTCTGGATGGAGTTAGGAAACCTCAGTAGCTCTGTGGCCAAACCAGCAAGCACCTGCCTACAGCTTTCTGCACTTGGATATCTAAACTGTACGTGGTGCAGTCATGTGTTCTTGTAGGACTAAAACAATCTACTCCCAGGACTCCTGCTAGTACAGCAAGGTCAGGGTTAGCTCTGTTTTACACAGCAGTTAGGTAACACTGCCCTTTTTTTTTTTTTTTTGAAGAGGGTTATATGTAGACCTTGAGGTTGAGAGGTTAAAATGTGGTTGGAAGGAAAATGTTGACAAATTACAACTTGAATCATGAAGTAATGTTAGTTGGGTTTGGTTTTGTTTTTTGAATTTATAGGCAGGATTTCAAGCAATTTCACTCGGTTTGGAATCCTTCTTGTGGCTTTCTCAATAAGCAAAACCAGAATGTCCTAACTGCTGTCATGACTAACCTGTGGCCTGACTGGGACATGGGTGCTTAGGTATGAGGGAGGAGGTGCAGGAGAAGCATCCTTAAATCATACACTTCATCAGGAACCATAGTGCCAGTAAAAGGAGGAATAACTTCAGACTGAGAGTAAGTTTAGGTTGGATATCGGGAAGAAATTCTTCCCTGTGAGGGTGGTGAGGCCCTGGCACAGGTTGCCCAGAGAAGCTGTGGCTGCCCCATCCCTGGGAGTGTCCAAGGCCAGGTTGGACGGGGCTTGAAGCAACCTGGGCTGGTGGAAGGTGTCCCTGCCCATGTCAGGGGGTGCAAAAATACGATCCTTGTGGTCCCTTCCAACCCAAACCATTCCGACTCCGTGTTTGTAACCTGTGCCCAGATCAGTGTGCCCTGCCAGCTCCTGGTAAGGGACAGCCTCAGACAATCTCTTTGGCCTCCACATCAGCTGGTGTTTGCTGTGCCAGGCTGCTCTCCCAAGGTGTGATTTGCAGTTGTTCTGTCCTTTTGAAGCTCGAGGAGGTGTGTTAAGCAGGAAAAAAGCAGCTCTTTGAAATCCTACCCTGATTTTTTTTATCTAATGTTGATTTATAGTAAGAAGATCTACTGTCATCTTGTGCCTGTATTTTGGCCCAGGGAGGGGAGGACAAGATGCATCGTGTGACTTGACTTCAGGCTGTTTATGTGGCTGGTTCTTACCTTAGTTGTAAGTGGTGTTCCTCAGTCTGCTTTGATTAGAATCATGGAATATCCTGAGTTGGAAGGGACCCACAGGGATCATCCAGTCCAACTCCTGGCCCTGCCCAGGACACCCCAACAATCCCACCTTGTCCCTGAGAGCATTGTCCAAACCCTCCTTGAGCTCTGGCAGTCTTGGGGCTGTGACACTGCCCTGGGGAGCCTGTTCAGTGCCCAACCACCCTCTGGGGAAAGAATCTTTTCCTGAGATCCAACCTAAACCTCCCCTGACACAGCTCCAGGCCATTATTAGCTGTGAATAAGGCACCTTAACTGATGCCCTGTACATTATGGTGGTTTTCTGTGAGAGGCCTTTAACCTGCAGCAGTTCTGCAGGTTGTACCATCTTCTTAATTTTCACCAGAAAGTGTAAAATTATACTTGACTATTTTTTAATAGCACCATCAAACTCTTGTCATAGCTTAGGTGAGCAAGATCAGTAGGATGTTTGCAGTGAGACAAGAACACTTGCAAATCCAGCTTTTCAATGTGGTCTCTCACTGATACACAGTCAGCAAAGCTTCCAAGCTCCTAAGAGAGGGGATATTTAAGTAAGGAAACCCTCCAGCTGTTTGCTGAGAGCTCTGAGCTCAGGTATCCTTTCTGAAAGGAAAAAATTAGCCACCAAGATCTTTCTGAATAATTTCTGAACCATTCAGCAGTTCTGAAGTGTATAGAAACTTCCACATTCCTACAGAAATGTAGGGCTAGATTAAAAAAAACCCACTTGAAACCTGAGAATGAAAATACTGAAATTAGTGGGGGTGTTACTGTTCAGCAGAACTGTCAAACAAGTGGAAGCTCAGCTTGGTTTTGAGAGTGTTTAGCAGTAGGGTCAAGCTTTTAGTGACTTCACAACTTATTTCTGCTTTCCAAATAGTATTTCAAAGAGGTCTGTAGTTTCATGGAAAAGAAATGACTAAGATGGAGAGCCAGGCTGAGGCTTTTATTCCCTTAAATTAGCGAGTGTGATTTGTGCCCCGATAAACTGCTCTGTGGTTTCCAGAGCCTTATCAAAGGTGATGACGATTGTCTGGCAGAGAAGGTGGAAAGTTACTGCTGAGCACAGAAAGCTTTAAATTACTAAAAGTTCTTCTTGTGCCACCTTTCTGAAGGACCTCTAATGAAAGACTTCAGTTGTTGAGAGCAACAGTTCGGGGGTGTGTAAGTGGATAGCAGTGGCAGCAGCAGCAAAGTGCCTTCTCCCAAATCCCTGTGCCCCAGGTGTGCCTCGGCTGCCTTGTCAGAGTGACATTTCCTGATGTTCAGGACATGCTGTACTTGCAAAGTGCTCTCCTGTGGCTACTTCAGCTGATACAAACTGTCCCCAGCTCTAAGTGTCTCATCCCTGTAGTTCATAAACTTTGGGAAGTGAAGAGCTCTTCCTGCCTTGTTAACTGTAGGAATGGGATTTTCTTGGCAATGTAGTTTTAGCCCTTTTCCACCCACCTCTGGCCTGTGTTTTGGAAATGTGCTTGGGACTGGATGACATTGGTGTGCTTCCAGTGGCTTAGCTATTCCAGACATGTACCTGTGCTTACCTACTGAAAGTCAGCAGCCCCCTTACTTTGTAAATACCTTTTTATGGGTGATTTCAAAGGAAAGAATCAATTGGAATAAGCTCTGCATGTCAAATCCATCTTGTTGTTCATCAGACTTGTCCTGGATATTGTGAGGATCTAAAGCTTAGGTTAAACAAGCTCTTTGCTTGAGTCTGGGGTTGGAGCTTTCAAAAAGTTAAGATTCACTGTGGAAATGTTTTTCTTTCTGGTTTCTTGTTGGGCTTAAGACAATAGGTGGTTATTTGAACTTCTCTTTTCAGTGGTGCCTGTGTGCACTCCAGTGAATCTCATCAGCATCTACTGGTGCCTGTGAGATTTTTGGTGGTTTTGCTGTGACTGGCCACGATCTTCCCTATGGGGTTCCTGCTGCCCCTTTTTCCTCTGCTCCAGGTTTCTCCCTACCACCTGCAGCTGGACAGGCACTTCCTGGGAAGCTGGCTGAACCCCTTGAAAGGGGGGGAATGCCACATATGGACATGTGATCTGCTGTCTCTGTTTCCTGGCTCTGCATTGAATGTAGTTTCTCAAAGGCTGCTGCGTCCAAGCTCCTGAGAGAGGAGATATTTAAGTAGGGAAATCCATTTAGGGGCTGAGGGCTCTAAGCTCAGGTATCCTTTCTAAAAGGAAAAAAATCAGCTGCCAAGATCTTTCTGAATCATTTCTGAGCTGTTCACCAGTGCTAAACTGTATAGAAACTTCCACATTCCTATAGAAATGTAAGACTAGATTAAAACAAACCTGCTCCAACCCAACACTCATTTCCTCTGTCCTTGCAGGGCTGGTCCCACTTTGCCTTTTTCCTCCTTCCTTGTATGACATCATTCCCAGCTGTAATGCCTGTACCATGTGTAATTAAAAACTGCTCATGCTAGATTAGAACAGGTAGTACCACTCCTAACTTCTGGCCGAGGTAGTTTTGACAGCCGTAGACACCACACATCTTGTGTCTGGAAGGCTTCCCTAGCAACAACTGGAGTCACCTCCAGCTTCCCAGTCTGAAGGTGCCATGTAGCTGACATCCATGCTGAGGGCAGCTTCCATGGTCCTGTTTCCCAAATAATTTGTGCTCCTTGCCCAGGCACTGGAGGCTTTGGAGATGCAGGAACTCCAAGAACTCCCTAACGTGCCTCATACAGATTATCAACTTGGATTGTTTTCCTTTCCAGCATGACAACATTCTTCACAAGTCCTCTGTATGACCAGATTTATGTTCTCTTGGACAGATGCATATGAGTGAGGTTTAACTTTAGTCCACTTAACCTAAAATGTGTCCTAGCACATTCTGGTCCTGAGTCTGGAGCAGACTGTTGCTCCTGCGTTCTCTTAAGACATTGCTTTCTGCTGCTTTAATGAAATCTTGAGGCCTCTGTGGAGAGACTAAGCTCAAAAGTTCAGTGAGGATAGCAGTGGCTTAAATTACCTCTGTACATGTGGTGTACACAGAGCTGGGGCTTGTTCTCTGTGTGACCAGGGCTCTGAGAGGAGAGCAGGTATGAGCTCATCATGTACCTTTTGTTCTCACAGGGCAGTCGTGGAAACTTGGTTCAGCTGCTTCATTAGAAACTGCAGAGTTTAAACTCACACTTTTGAGTCTGAAAAGTTGCCTAGGACTGTCTGGATTTCTATTGTCACAGGATTTTTGCAGGGCATATGTGTGGTACCACAGCAATCCCGGGCTGTGGAGCACTGAGTACTTTGCCCTGTGTCTGTTTAATTCCTTGGCTCCCTTCCCTGCAGCCTTTCAGAAGGCTTTGTTTTGAAAATAGACTTTTCTGTGCTGCTTTGTCTGGAAGAAAGTAAGATCATTACTTGAGCTTCTCCAAACTGAAGTAAATCTCTCTCTCTTTCAGTGTTCCATTGGCAAGCTACAATAATGGGACCAGTAAGTATGAGAGAATTGATGCTCGTGGCTTTTTATGATGGGTTGTCTTGTAATAACTCCTCAAGCTGCAATGATTCTTTCTCATTAACAGAACGACAGTCCCTATCAAGGTGGAGTATTTTTCTTGACAATTCACTTCCCAACAGATTATCCCTTCAAACCACCTAAGGTGAGTGGCTTCTACCATAAATCCATCCGTTGCCATGTGGTCTGATGTATATATTTGTGAGCCTACACTGAAAATTTTCCTTCTTCTGCAGGTTGCATTTACAACAAGAATCTATCATCCAAATATTAACAGTAATGGCAGCATTTGTCTTGATATTCTACGATCACAGTGGTCCCCAGCACTAACTATTTCAAAAGGTACCTCCAATGCTCATTTTAATGTTACTCTGCTGAAATGAAGTACTGATTTGGGATGTAAAAAACGCTGCATTCCTGCTGGCATCAACCATTTCTGTGGTCACTGCTTCAGTCCTGTGACCCTGCATGGAGCTGGCATTCCTGAGTGTAGGATGCTCGGGACATCCATCTTCCCTGGGGCACAGGGACACTCCTCAGCTTTGCCAGTGGATCAGATAAGTCCTACTGCCCTGAGTACACACTTCTGCCACCTCACCTCAGAGTCTGAACACTGACACTAGGCTTAATTTTATATATTTTTACTTAATGATAATGAAAGACTTTAATGTTCAGAATACACACCAAGTAAAATATGTAAGGGAGCGGCTGTAGTTTTTAAGAAGTTATAAACTTGTCTAATTGTTTGTCATCTTAAAAGACCCTTTTTCAAGGAAACATCATAACTCCGTGTTGGCAGCTTTTGAACAAAGCTCTCAATGACATGCACTGCTAAAGCATGTTATAAAACTTAACTAGCTTGCACTATCTTGACTTTTTTTAGCTAAAAATATCTTGGACCCTGTGAACTGAGTTAGTGGTTAGCTTGGAATGTATCCTTTGCCTGGTAAAGCAATATTCATATTTATTATAAATACGAGGCTTTAAATGCTTGAAAGAAGACCCAGGTTGGAATTTTATTGATTTTTCTGGCTAACGAAACTGTAGATTTATAAACTGTAGATCAAGTTTGTAGGTCTAGCCACGGCTATTTAGGAATATTTTGGGTCTACCCTGTGCATGGACCATGTCTTGACTCCTCTGTTTTGTAGCTTCACACTGTCCTTGTGCTCAAACACCGCAGTTGCCACATTGATGACATTATCCTTCACATCACATCTCTGCTCTGAGGCTTTCCTGTGCCCTCTCCTTCTCCCCAGCTCCCTGTGATGTTTCTGGGCAGTTTTTGATTTAGGCAGGTGATTCCTGGTACATCCCTGGGACATCATCACTGTCTCTCTTTCCCTGAACCCACAGAAGTTCCCACCTTCTCTGTCCAGCTAAAGGCATTTGTGGAAACAGTTGGAAAGGCAAAACAGTATCTCCTTGTCTCTTGTCAGAAGTGAATTTGCTCGTGCACGAGGCTGAAAGTCTTTGTTGTGAGTTAAAAGAACTGAAGAAATGGTGTCAGTAAAGGGAAAATGATTGTCAGGTTGCTGTAATTTCCTTACAAGTGCTCTCAGTCAGTACTGGCTGCTCCTGGAAGCACCAAGTTAGCACCAAGCACTGACATCTGTTCTGGTTTGATTTAATTGCTGTATAACTGGGCAGAATGTGTGTTGTTTTAGGGAGTCTAAAGTGGCCATATGGGCAGTGGGGTGAGAGACAGCATGCTTGAAAATACTGGGAGATAGACTGGAATTGGGACAGTTGGGAAAAGATGGGACAAGAATTCAAGAGGTTGGTTAAGGGCAGCAGTGGACTGAAAATACATCCTAATGTTAATTTTGCTGCCCAAATACATTTGCAGTATGCTTTAACATCTCCTTCTGTTTTCTGCTTTGGACTCCTTTTTTCCTTACCCTTTTCAGACTGTATCCTGCTGGCTCAGCTGGAGTTCTGTGGGATCAGGGTGGCTGTTCTGTGCCACTGTGCCCCTTCCACTGCCCCCTGTGAGTGCCCTGCTGGGGTCAGGGGGCTCTGTAGTGCTGATCAGTTCTCACTTACTGAAGAGGAGTTCACTCAGTACCCAAACTCTGCTGCACATGCACAGCATCCATACAGCTCTAACCTGGCAGAAAACCTTGTTCCCAGTTCCCTTGGGGTACATTTATTGAAGGAATTAAAGCAGCAAAGCAAATTCTTATAAGTGACTTTATAGAAACTGGGAATACTTTCCTCAGAATCACAGAAAGCAGAGCTCAGCTTCAGAAGCAAAGAGCTGATGGTCCCATCTTGAACAAGTGTAAAGAAATTGCACAAAGGCAACTTGAGTCTTTTAGGGCTGAAATCTTGTGTTCAGTCAGGTTAGAATGTGTCATGACAGACTTTGGGGCTGTTTCAGCTCTCTAGTGACTGATCAGCCTTATCAAAGAATGGATGTGTTCCTAGCAGGAAAAGCTGTTGGATTAGGTAGTTTAGAGTGAGTAACAAGACTTAAGACATTCAACAATAAGCTCACATCCCTTCCAAAGCAGCAATTTAGTATTTGTATTGTGGATTTCTTAGAGTATTTCCTAAATCGTGCCACCCTTTAACTAAGATGCTACTGGGAGCAAGCTGTTTGAATTTAAAATCTGTAAGCAGATAACTAGAGCACAGCTGAAAGAAACTGTGCTTTCTACTGATTGAGAAATCTGGAAAGACTAGAAACAGTCCTTCTAGGAAAAAGCTTATCGTGCACAGCTTCCTCCTGAGGCAGCTGGGAGGCAGCACTGTCAGCAGCTTGGATGGGCTTGGTGTTATGTTGCAGTTAATGTGTGGTACATGAACGTGTTTAACACCTTAACCTCCAAGGAGGGAGGGGAAGGGGTGTGCAGTGACTTCCTTTGGATTTAAAGTGCCACTTTTTGGTGAAAAGGCAGTGATAAATCCTGTCAGTGGTAGTTAATCATCTCAGTTTGCTGGTAAAGGGTCTTGCCCCCTCACACTCTGGAGCCCTCTGTAAGCAACTTGATAAAGTGATTGTGGTTATGACAGGTGACTGGCATTTTGGGGTTTTGTTCTGTCCCTCCTAGAATTGTTAAAACAGCTTCTGAAGACTTGGGGGACCAACAGTGAGTGTCTCAGTAGAACAGCTAGTTTGCTTGTATTAGTAATTCTTTACTCAGTGTTCCTTAAAGAATACATATTGGAGAATAAATCATCTCAAAATACAGTCTTAACCACACCTTGGTGGGCAATTTGAACTACAAGGCTTAAGTAGAATGTGTAGGCTTAAATTAAAAACATTATCTCCAAGTCTGTACAAATAGGAATCCCTGTTGCCTGAAACAGGAGAATGAAGTATTTTAACATGATTACAGCTGTTCCCAGCCACTTTTGGGGGGAAAAACCCACACTTTCTCTTAAACTTGGCAAGGGGATGTGCAAGAGTTGATCATGAAGTACTTCTGCAGTGAAAGTCAGGCAGCTCACTCTGTCCTGTCCCACTTCTCCCCATGTGTTGTAACTAGTGACTCATGGAGCCTGTTTGAGTGTGCTGGAGGGGCAGTGAGGAACTTCAGCCTCAGTCATGGCAGAGTTCAGCTCTGCTGTCCAAACTTCCATGCCCAGTGTGCTGTGGATTTTCTGTGTTGCTGCTCTTCAAGAATTGCTTAACTGAGACTTACTGTGTGGGATTTCCCAAGTACCCAGCGACCTAAATGAACTGGACCTTCACAGTGTAGCCTTAAAAATTGGGAACCTGGTTTCTGATCATCTTGTTGGCACTTTAATTTGCCTGTTGTAGCACTTACCCACATAACTGGGTGGCTTTGTCACAGAGCATGGGTGTGACATGATGTGCTGAGTTGGGGTTCTAAGGGAAATGCCCATTTTTGCTTTTCAACTCTCAAAAACTGTAGTTTAACCACTTGTGCAGCTTCCCAGATGTTGCTCCAAGGAAGTTTATGCTAGGAGGAGTGTGGCTGGCAGGTTGAGGGATGTGATCCTTCCCCTCTGCTTGGCACTGGTGAGGCTGAATCTGGAGCACATCTCCAGTGCTGGGCTCCCCAGAACAGGGAGGTCATGGATGTATTGGAGAGAGCCCAGTGAAGGGCCATGAATGCCATGGAGGGACTGGAGCATCTCTCATTATGAGGCAGGCTGGGAGCTGGGACTGTTCAGCCTGGAAGAGAAGGCTTGGGGGAATCTTATCAGTGTCTGTAAATACTTGAAGGGAGGGTACAGAGGTGACAGAACCAGACTGTTCTCAGTGGTGCCCAGTGACAGGGCATGAACTGAAGCACAGGAGGGTCCCTCTGAACAGCAGGAAACACCTTTTTGTGTTTTATTTTTACTGTGAGAATGCTGAGCACCAGCACAGGTTGCCTTGGGAGGTTGTGGGATCTCCTGCCTTTTGAGATACTCAAAAGCCACCTGGACACAGTCATGGCCAACCTGCCTTAGGTGGCCCTGCTTGAGCCAGGGGGCTGGACAAAATGATCTCCAGAGATCCTTTTCGACCTCAACCAGTCTGTGGTACACTGGGCAACACTTAACTTTTCTTCTTTTGTCACCAGAAATTGTTGAACTGACTTAGCAGGAATTCAAGTTGCTTTGAAGCCAGAAGTTTAAACTGCTCAGATTTAAAGGTACACTTCCTGTAGGGCTGGGGAAGAGGCTGGAGGAGTTGGAAATGGGACTGTGGTTAAGAAATAGGTTTGAACTGGAGCAGAGTCTGAAGCTACTTTAATTTTATTTGGGTGCATCTTGCCTGTTCACAGTCAGGAGCCACTCATTTGAAGCTGTTGGACCAGTGGTGTTTTCAGCGTGTTTAAAGTTAAAACCTTAATGTTTGTCAGTGCTGATAAAACTCTTTGACAGCTGTGTGCCTCAAAAGTTTCAAGAGTCTGGGCCCTGAAACTCCAAAGCAGTGATTGTATAGGAGAATGCTCCTTCCAGGAATCAGGTTGCTTCCTGATTTTGAGGAATAGAGGTGGAAGTAGCAGTGGGTCTTGATGTGGAGGCTGCCAGGCATCAGTGAAGGAGCTGGTGAGAGAAGCAGGACAGCTGGATGAACCCCCCAACAAGGAATTCAGAATTCCTCAGCAGTGCTGTGTCCAAGGCTCATATTTCTGCTGGCAGAGGTGTTTCACAATCAATTAAACCTGAGCTGACAAACTGTTAGTTTCATATTCAGAGGCTTTGCTGGATCAGGAGGCACAGCACTGTCTCCTGGTCTCCAGGAGGTGACAAATGGCTTTCCACAGAAAGACCTTATGGGCACAGTGTTCATCACTCCCCTGGGACAGCAGGTGGGGTGGGCTGCTGCCATTGCTGGGAACTGCTGATGGCCAGGAATCAATGCTTCCCTGTGTTATCCAACTGTTCCATGTCAGTGCATGACCTTTTTGATTATAAGGTGATCCTGAGGCTCCTGTGTCACTCCAGCCAAGACAGAGAGCTGAGTAAGTGTCATCCTGCTGTCCTGACAGTCTGGCATGCAGAGCAACCATCTCAGCACTTTCTTGGTACTCTGCACCAACAAAAGGTTTGTTAAATAATCTCTGTGCTTGCTTAGAGATGGACCCTTGCTCCTGGGTGGATTCTAAATTGACTCCTCTTTGGAGAGCAGTAGCTGCACCAAGCAGCTGTTGGATCAGAACACACCAGTCGTTTCTTCTGGATAGCTTCATTACCTTGGAAAAATTGGTGCTTTTCATCTCCCTGCTGTGATTCAGCTGGAGATTCCATTGCTCCTCAGTTGCTTTTCCTTACCCTGAAGTGTCCCATGGATGAGTGCTTTACTGGAGCAGGTTTGTTTGGAATTCCAGCTAGACTTAAACAGCAGTATCTGTAGTGGCTGGTACTCTGTCAGGGATGGCTGGAGTGGTGGATATTAGACCAGTCAGGCTTTGCAGACAAAGTGAATCATCTGGGGGTTGTGTTTGGAAGATGAGGAAGTGGAGATCAGCTGCTTTTAAGAGTCTCTTCACCTCTGAGTTCCAGGAACTTTAACATACCTCTTAAATTTGGATGAGCCAATAGATGTTCCAGTAGGGCTTGAAATTGTGTTCCACACTGCTCATTTGGCTACTGCTGGAAGGACCTGTGGAGAGCTGTTGTCATGGGTTGTCCTGAGCTGCTTCCTGGCACAGGAACCTCAGCCATGGAATTTACAAGTGGAATTTGCATCTTACCCACCCCTTCAGTCTGAGGTGGGGCAGAAGCAGGAAGGTGAAGTTGCTCATTGGGGTGGGTGAGCTGGCCTGGGAGGTGTGAGAGCACAGCAGCTGCTGAGGAGGGGAGGTGGATCATGCTGTGCTGAACTGTAGCTGATCCTGCTGACAAGCTGTCCATGGCAGGATTTTCTGCCTGGAGAGATTGTGCTTGAACTTCAGAGTGTTTTGTGCTTTGTGAAGGCAAGTCTTGCAGTGGGAACTTGGATGTCAGTTGTGCTCTGTTACACTGTAGACTGTATTCTGCATGTTATTCAAGCAGTCTAATATTAACTCTTCAGTGATCATTCTGCCTGATGAAGGTGCATTTCTCTCACTGCTCTGTGGGGAAGCTAAGCCCATTTTTAGAACCACTTTGTTGTCAGCCTGTTTGCTTGATGAGTTTGGTTCTCCCAGTCCCTTGGTGTTGAGAAGTACTTGGTCTGTGCTAGTTCCTGGCAGCAGGAACCACACTGAAGAGTAGGCTGTATTTGTTGTCTGCAGAGATAGATAGGGAACACAGCTGAAAGGTTGGAGGTCAGTAGGCTGCCTGGTGAGTGAAATAAAACAAAGCAAACCCAATTTTGAAGTGAAAGGGAGCTTTAAACTGATAGTGTCTCTGAGTTGCTTAATGTTCTGCTGCAGACTGGGCAACTCTGACAGCTAGGAGTGAAGAGATGAGAAATAACTCTGTACAGAGTTGTTTCAAGGGAGGAACCCTTTGAATCAATGACAAGTAAAGTTTATTTTGCAGTTACTGACAAAAATCCAGACTTGAATTCAGAGAGTGCACACTTGTGGTACATCCCTTCCAGTGGGAGACTCCAAGGGATGCTGTCAAGCTGATAATGCTTTACCTATGGTCATGCAGGATGTGTAGGACAAGGTGTAAAAATGTCACTTACCTGCCTTGTGTAGTTATTCAGCTTGATTCTGTGGTTACAGGACTTTCTGGGAACTTTATTGTCTCCTACTAATAGAATAGTCATTTGAGTAGTAAATGTCAAGGCTTTGCTGTGGAGCTCATTGCTGTAATACTTGATTGCAGAGGAGGGTGGTCTGGTGAGTCTCTAATTCCATAGTGTTGGTTTAATTAGTTACTCTGATACACAACTGACATATTTGATTGCTTCCTCTTTACCCTTGCACTTGAAACTTGGAGAAGGTGCCTTTTCCAAGGGGTTTTTCCATAGTGGTCTGGAGGCTCCTTATGTTGGTTGGTCTAAAAGGTGTGTATGTGCAATGTTCTAGTGGAAAACCTCAAGAGAAACTTCCTGAATTGATATGGACAGATAGCTGGGTTCAGCAGGATATTAAAATTACACTAGTTTAGATAACTGGTTAAAAATGCTCTTCTTGCTGGGGCTGTACAGATAAAAATGGAATGATGTGAAGTCACCAGCAAGAGCAAGGGTAATGAGAATAGTTTGGATTAATGAAGACTTAAAAAAATTAAACAGAGCAGATGAATGTGGCAGTGCAGCTTGAAGCCAAATGGTTGTGTCCATTTTTATTCAGTGTTTTTTGAGTGATGCTGAAAAGTGAACTGCTGAGTGTTGGGAAAAGGGGTGTTAGGGTGGGCTGAGAGCACTGGCCTGGCCTGCAGTGTGGTTCTGAGCCACTGTGTTCCAAAAAGTCCTTGGTTTTTAAAGGCTGTGGTAAGATAAAATTTGAGAGAATAGTTACAATAGTTGACCAGAAAACTTGGTTTGGATTTCCTGCTGTTTCTGGTGAAGGCAGGGGACAGATTTGAGCTGTCTCACTCATCCTACAACTGAAGAAACTCAAGTGATCAGGGCAGTGGAGTCTGACAGACCGAAAGGAATGAGCTACAGGAGAATTGCTGGACAAACAGCTGTTTTGAGGCTAAACTGACTGGGAGCAGCTGGATGTGTCAAAGAGTTCCCATTACTGAACACTTTACTCAGTGTATGTAGGGGAAAGGAGCTGGTTCTGGAGCTGTACTACAGGTGCTAAATGTGCTCTGTCCTTTGCTGAGGGACAGCACTTCAGAACTAGTTGCTTCTACAATACCTCCCTCACAATCTGAAGCTGTGTTCTGAGAGGGAGCTCAATAAATAGCCCAAATGCCAGTTATGGTAGAGGATAATTAAGCCCTTAACTCTCTCACAGGTGTACAGTAGTAAATTGGGAAAAGGAGGAAGAGGTTGCTCTTTATTCCGAACCAGAAATATGTTCACTTAAATCAAGGCCACTTTATTACCACACTTTCCCTAAATGCTTTAAACTTGGAATTGAGAATTGATTAGTGAAGGGTCTACAGAAAGAGAGGGGAAACTGAACTAAGTGGTTTTCTGTGTTCTTGGTGCTCACACCACCAAGCAGCACACTCAGTTCAGACGTAGGGAAGCTTTCACTTTTGTCCCACTTGGAAAAAAACCTCTTCTCCATTTCCAATGAATATCACACCTGATTACCTCTTCTCTCTGGAGGGTGGTGAGGCCCTGGCACAGGTTGCCCAGAGAAGCTGTGGCTGCCCCAGTCCTGGAAGTGTCCAAGGCCAGGTTGGACGGAGCTTGGAGCAACCTGGGCTAGTGGAAGGTGTCCCTGACATGTCAGGGGGTGGAATGAGCTGAGCTTTAAGGTCCTTTCTAACCCAAACCATTCTGTGATCTTTTTTTGTGGCCTGTGTTTTAACCTGTCTTAACTCCTTTGTTGTTTTTATGGGGCTGTGTGCTGTTTCCTTTCATTTTTCATGGATAGCTGCCTCATGCAAGCGATGGAAATTGGAGCAGATTTGTGTTTTAGTGTCTTCAGACTCCTCACTCTTGTCATCTCCAACTTGCTCGGAGGCTGCACTGTGACAACTCCGCGTCTCTGCAATTGGTGAAGGGACATATGGAGTGGCACTGTTTGATCCAAACAGGCGGAGAGAAGGGAATGTTTGGCATTTCTGGGAGGGGGGCAAGATGTCCCTGCCGTGCCTGGCGTAGTGTTGTCCCAATATGCTTTGCTTGTAACTCCCTGCCTTCTCCTCTCCTCTCTGGTGTGAATGTAGGAATGTCCGTGTGCTATTTGTGGCTTTGCAGCAGTCTCCTGGCTCCTTGTATGGATGAGGTTGTCACTCAGCTGAGCAGGATGTGGCCTCTGGGATATAGGCACTATATATTTATAGTGAAACACTCAAGTTCTAGGGCTCTGGGTTGGGAGCAGTGCAGGCAGCTGGGTGTTCTTGGGTCATTTTGAATATTACACTACACTTAATCCATCTCAATCTTCCTTATGCTTGGAAAATAATTGGGTAAAGCCTCTTAGTTCTCTGCAAGACTGGTGTATTTTTAAACAGATCTTCAAGGCCAGGTTGGTTGGATGGGACTTGGAGCAACCTGGTCTAGTGGAAGGTGTCAGGTGTCCCTGCCCATGGCCGGGGGTTGGAATGAGATGAGCTTTTAAGTCCCTTCCAACCCAAACCAGTCTGTGATTCTTAAGTAGCTGTGAACAGCTCTTTCTTAATTCATCTCAGCTGGACTTGTCTGCTGTTTGACTTTTGATTAGTGCTGCTCCAGGTCATTTAACAGTGAGGTGTCTGGTGTAGGGAAAAGCTGAATTTCAGGTGCAAAAGCAGGGAAGTCTTCCCAGAATGCTCTCACGTGTGGGTTCAGAGAGACATGGCTGCTGCTGGACACACCTATCCAGGAGGTTATTCCTTGTGACAGTGTGGTCATGTGAAGTTTTGTAGTTCACTGGTAAGGAATTCTGTTCAGAATCACTCAGCTGATGTACCTGGGATTACTGCTCCTTGGGAATTTTAAATAAATGCTGCTGATGCTACTGGCTGGAGGGGAAGGAAGGGTATGGGCTGACCTGTGCAGGTGTCCTCAGCTGCACTGAAACTAATTGTGTCTCTTTTCTCTCCCCAGTACTTTTGTCCATCTGTTCTCTGTTGTGTGATCCCAATCCAGATGATCCTTTAGTGCCTGAGATTGCACGGATCTACAAAACAGATAGAGAAAAGTAAGTATGGAAGCCAAAAAAACGTGGAATATGACAGGGCAGAATGCACACTTACACAGTAAAGAGGAACTGAAAGGCCCCACTTCTTGGAAAAGAGTGGAAAAAAAAGGCAAATCAAAGCTCTAACTGTGGTCTTTTTAGGGGTGTTTTTGTTTTTCCCTGAGATCTGTAATGCCACTCTCTGAGCTGCTTTAATCCCACATAGCCAGCAGAGGGAGAGCAAGTTACTCCAACCGGAGAATATTCCACGGCAGCTCTGGGTCTGGAATGATACAAAGAAATAACAAAAACTCCCTGTTTCTCTTTCACTTGTCAGCACAAGGGAAGAACAAGTGGTGTAGAGGTTGGGGTAGGAAGACTCCCAAGCTTCTGTACAGAGAAGCTTTAGTGCTAATGAGCACTTTAACAGCTTAATGACCACTGTAAACACTTCCTACCTCTCTGTTCCTTCCCAGATCTGGTCAGGGAAGGGAAAATGATCCACAAATTTGCTTTGTCTACTGCATGCTTGAGGAGCAGTGTTAGAGAAGTTCATGCATCCTTGTTTTTGAGAACTGCAAGAGCAGCAGCACCTGTTTGGAGATGCAGTGAACACTGACTCTCTGCACTTGAAGTATGCAGAACTCCTCTCTTTTTTTTTTTTTTTTTTTTTTTTCCAAAAATAGGGAAACAAATTTTTGGGCTTAACCATAAGGACTTGCTGCTTGAGTAGTCTCTGAGCAGTGATGGGAAGGAGAGAGTTAGGAGTGGATTTTCAGATTCTTTAAGCTAAGGAATATTGTCTATGGGCTAAATTCCAACACAAACCAACTTGGTGTGCATAACTATAGGAAAATTCTGGCTGTAAGTATCTTATTCTTTTAATTCTGTAGAATAAGAACAACTGGTTGTCAGAGAGAAGCTTTCATCAGTGCAGTTAATCATAACTGCTTTGTTTTACACAAGTACCCTGAGCTTCCTCTGGCTGTGAAGGGTATTTGGGTGCAAAAGCCACGGGGGGGTTGGGAATTGTTGTGCCTTCAGAACAACAACAATTCTGATGCACAAATCACTGTGTCCTGACTGTCATCAAAAAATGACAGTCAAATATGTAGCAAGGAACAGGGCTGTTGGGGTTGGGCAGATGAGTCAATGGCAGGTATTGGGTTTAACTGAGAAGGGAGGAGATGGCAGGGACACACGAGTCTATTCCAGAATGTCCAAATGAAACCTTGCAGTAAGTTTTCCCAGGGGCTAGGGGAGGCACAGGTAAAGCCTTCCTGAGAATCCTTTCCCCTCAGCCCTTTTCTAGCTCTGTTTTATGGCTCCAGTCACAAAGATCTCATACTCCTGTTGTAAACATGACCAGGTGTTTCTTTTCCATGAAGCACCCTGGGCTTTCTTGTTCCCCCTGTTTGCTTAGTGTTTAATTTTGCTCTTAAATGTTACAAATTGTTGATAGTGTACTGTAGAGAGTGTGAGTTCATGCCATGTGTAGACTAGACTGCTGGAGCTGGAATACTGTGCAGATGCCACGTTAAGTAAATCCTCTTTTTATACATACAGGTACAACAGAATAGCTCGGGAATGGACTCAGAAGTATGCGATGTAATTAAAGAAATTATTGGATAACCTCTACAAATAAAGATAGGGGAACTCTGAAAGAGAAAGTCCTTTTGATTTCCATTTGACTGCTTTCTATGAGCCCACGCCTCATCTTCCCCTGTGCACATGTTTACCTGATACAGCAGTGCTGCGTGTTGTACATACTTGGAACAACAAACTAGAAATACTGTATTTCCCCGTACCAACATTGACTCCTAGCAGAGAAGTGTGTGTGTGAAAAGCTGGTTCTTCAGTCATAACTTTGTGAGCCTAAAAGCATTCCTTGCTGAGTTCAAATTGGGTAATCAGATGGGAATGGGAAGAGTCCTGGTGGTTCTCAGATTTTTTTTTTTTTTAGGGACAGTGTTGCTGATCCATGAAGGATTTTAAGTGGAATCCTTTTAAACTCATAACAGTTATGAAAAGCAAGGTGAAGAACTTGAAACTGTTTCTGTATTCATTTTATTCTGAAGGACCTACACCTTAGGTAAATGTTATGACCAATGAGAAACTGTACCCACATCCTGTGTTTAAGGTCTAAGTTTAACCGGTCACCATTTAAATGGATTGGAGCTATTAGTGCATCAAGTGATGTTGATTTGTTTCAACTCTCTCCCTCCCTTCATACTTTTTTTGGTTTGTATGTGGTTTCTCAGTTAATACCTAGCTAATAGCTCTTATTTTTTCTTAAGTTTTTTAACTGCTTAGGTCTTTCTGGATGTAAGGGTAAAAAAAAAAAAAAATCCATTTGACAGAAAACTTGTGTGTATTTAAAGACCCAACTGCTCCCCTGGAGCTTGTACGTTCAAGAATGATTAATCTGTGTAATAAACTGATTACTACAGTCATTACATATAACTTTGTGTGAATAGGCTTTTAATTTTCAGAGCAGTTTGTTACAGGCTTAAACTAACGGCGGATTTCTCTTAAAAAAACAAAAACAAACCAACTTTTGGGTTGAAGTCGTGAAGCAGTTTGGTTTGCATCACACAAGGCACCTGAAGAGGCAAACAGGAGCTTGAGCACTTAGATGAAATCAGGATGTGTAGTGTGCCAGGAACTTGACTGTTAAACCAAATAAGCAGTTTACTAAATGCGAATCAGAGTGACATTTTACAAAGCCTGATGGTATTACTCCCACTTGCATGGGACCTAACACAATGCATATGTACTGTAGGTAAGTGAAACCTTATGTAACTAAAAAAAAAAAATGGATGTAAAAGGGTAAAAAAATGAAAAAAAACAACCTACCAAACACATCAGCACAAACTTTCATAAAATGTAGCTTTTACATAATTACTTTGCACTAAACATTTGCAAATGTTCATACAGTTTTAAATTGTACTTGTATGTGTCTTTTTTTTTTTTTTTTTTTTTTTGGAACAAAGTCTTCACTTGAATCTAGTGGAAAAAAAAAAAAATGTAGTTTGAAACTTTTCTTTGTATACAAGTGTATTTGCCAGCATCGTTGGTGTGACAGTAGGTGAGTCTGCAAGTTTATCTCCTCTTAGTAGAATTGTAACCCAAGCCATCGGGCAGGAGAGGCTGGAGCCGCTGGCTCTCCGGCCACAGGGTCTGTCCCAGCCATTCCCAAATGCATCTTGACACTCTTGCACAAACGAGGAATAAATGTCCACTGCTTTTGGTCTAAACCTGTCCCGCTTGTCTCATCTCTCGGTGTGTCCGCAGCGCTGCAGGAGGTGTGGCCCTCGAGCAGGGAGTTGTGTCCCTCTCCAGAGGCACCAGGAACGCTGCTCTGCTGGCCTGGGGACAGAGTGGCTTCGCTGGAAAAGGCATGGAGCACGTGTGTCCTGGCTGAGGGGTGACAGCTACAGGGGAGGGGGCGAGATCGGTGTGCAGGGCTGTGAGCCTCGGGTCGGGCCTCCCTCAACTCTTGGAGCTTATCCACAGGGTGCTGGTGTCTGGAATGCTGGGAAGGCAGGGTGTGACTCTGGATAACACCTGTGGCATTGTCAAACCTGGAGTGCAAGCTGGTGGCTGGGTTTGTGTCAGCCTTGCCTTTGCTGACCTGTTGTAATGTGCAGGCTGTGCTCCTGCTGGACCCTCAGCAAACACCTCAGTGGGGGAGTTTCACAGGTTATCACAGAATATTCTCAGTTGGAAGGGACCCCCAAGGATCACTGAGTCCAGCTCTTAAGTGAATGGCCCATGCAGGGATGAAACCTTGTCATTATTAGCACCATGCTCTGACCAACTGAGCTACTCTTAGGGTTGCCCTCCCCTGTTTTTCCATGGGGTCACAGAAAGACAAGGGAGGAGCTTTGGGGGGATTCTCTTTACCTGCTTTGCAATTGAGCCTCCCAAGAATGATTTTTTGAGACAGATCTGGTTGGCTTTGGGCATTGGAAGTTGCTGAAAAAGATCAGAGGCCTGTATGGGGGGAGAGAGAAAGGAGCAGTGACAACTGAGAGAGCTGAGGGAGATGGTTTCCCTTTCTGGTGGAGCAGAAGTCACATCCACGAGGTGACAGGACATTAATAAGCCATACATGCATTGAAATAGTCCTGAGTCTGTAACAGCTGCAGCTTGGATGATCCATTAACACATCTGCTCCTGTTGGGATGAGTCTCACTTGCAGTGAAGTGCTCAGGCAGTTCAGACTTTTTTTGCTGTTGGCATGACCACGATTGTGTAGTAAAATCCGGTCTGGTGATGTTTGAGCAGGGAGGATGTGCTCTGTCCCTTGTGTGGGATGACCACTCGTTTGGGAGGGTTGTACTGTGAACTAGATGAAGGAGCCTTTTTTTTTTTTCCTAGCATTTAACTGAAAACCTGACCCAGCTTAGCTATTTTTGGGACTAGAAACCTGCTCCTTTGAAGCTGTACATTGCATATGTTCCAGTGTCAAACAGCACAGGAGGCCACGGGCTCTGGATGTTGCCTTTCTAGGAACATTGAGCTTGTCATGTCATCAACCTCTTGCATCCCTGTCCAGTTTTTAAACTTTCATTTAGTATTTTAAGTTGCCTGTTTCCCTTTGCATGGCTTTCTTTGCGCTGCGGATTCTATAGGTTGTTCATGGGATTCCCTTTTTTCTTTACATGTGCTAAGGAAATGTGTTTTATTAAAAAGTACTGAGCTGCTTAGATCCCCCCAGCTCTGGCAGCAGAGCTGGAACACTGTGCCTGGATACATCCTTGAGCTCATCAGTGCCCATCCACTGCATGGAGTGACCCAGAGGAGGAACATGATCCCATGTATTTTGGAACCGCTCCTAGTTCAGTGCTGAGTTGGCTTAAAACATTCCCATGGCTCAAAGCCCAACCTCCCTGGACCTGCAGATTGGGATGGAGCTGATCCTGGGCAGTACTGGAGACCTGATTACTGTGCTTGAAACACCAGCTTGTCCTTCAGCAGGATGTGCTGCTGCATTTCTGTCACAGCTTTTTGGCAAGGCAAGAGGGGTTTGTTTTTTTTAAATATTTTTAGTTATTATCATGCTTTCCCAATGCTTCCAAGTGAGCTGCATCCCGAAATGTCCTTGGACTCTTCTGTTCAGTCTGCATCCATCAACTGATGTAGCAAAAACAGCAGGGCTGAGTTGGAAATGATCTTGTGTCCCTGGTGTGCTCAGCAAACTGTTCCCTGTCCTGGGCCTGTGACTTTCCTGGTGGTTTTCCTGGCTGCAGACAGCAATGCCTGGCTGCATTTTTGGATGGTCTCAGTCATCTTCAGCAGCAAAACAGCTCTAGACCTGTTCTTGTTCCTAGCTCTGCTGTACAGGAGAAGATCAGGAGCCTAAAGGAAGGATGATGGGAAACTTTGCCCAGTTAAAGGTGGATTTTCTTTGTGCCCTGAACAGCAAATGCTGGGGAGACAAGGCAGCAGACCTGGGCATGTGGGAGGTGCAGAAGAAAGCTGCTCCAATGAGTTACAATTATAAAACCAGGACAACAAACCACTTCTGAATGTGCTCGGTGCTCCCACTGCAGGTGGAGGAGCCCTTGGGTCAGGCTCCAGGCATGTCCAGGCAGAGCTTGGAAGTCACCTCCTGGGACAATAAAAGCCCGAAGGTGTGTCTGAGTGGAAGGAAGGCTGTCCTTGATAAATACAGAACCTTGGAGCAATCTTCTCATCCACTCAGCACTGGGGAAGCCTCCCTCCCTCTCCTGCAGGTAGCTGGAATGGAGCTTCATTCCCTGCTGCCTTCCATTCCTGGGCTCTTTGGGTAGGCTTGGAGCAAGTCCATGCTCAGAGCTGGGAATCTCAGTTGTTTGGGTTTGGCAGAAGCAGTTTCCAACAGGGAATGCACAGGGACAAGAGCACTGAGGGTGCCTGATGGAAGGTTAAAAGCAGGACAAATCCTGCTCCCTAGCTTTTGGGAAGCATGGAGACCAGCCCCTGTGTGAGTGACGGCGCTCAGAGACTCCAGGAGGGATCCCTGCAGCTGCCCCTGCCCTCCCCTGGAAGTGTGTGTGACTAGATCTGTGCTAACACTGCCTGTACTCTTGTATCGTGTTGCAATTTGATCATTAAATAATTCCCTCAAAATCACTGTGGCTTAATGGCTTTTTTTTCTTTTTAACCCATTTATTTTGGCTCGTGCTGCTTCCTTTCCTCTTGTGGCTGCTCTCTCCCTTCTCCCTGATGCTCCAGTCCTGTGCTGTCCCTCTCTCAACCATCTCCAGTCACCTTTATCTTGGCTCTTTTAGCTCCCTACAAAGCCTGGCTCGCTCTGGCCACGGGCAGGGCTTTGTGGGTGACCTGGAGTGGCCTTGGTGGTCAATGTGGCTGCAGCTTCATGCAGAAATATGTATGCTCTCACCAAACCCACACTGTCCCCTTCCTTCTTGGAAGTCGTGACTTAAAAGCAGGTTTGCTGGTGCTTTGATTTCCACACGAGCTGCTTCCAGCACCTCAGTCCCTGATCCAGAGGGTTCACTGCTATGTGAATCTGGGATCAGGCTCTGGAGTGAGAGCCCAAGGTGTTTGTGGTGCTGGAGAGAGCCAGAGCTGTCTTGGCTCTTCAGGAGTTCCCACAACTCATGGCTTACTCTTCCTCTGATCTGGCACCCACAGGATGTATTTTATTGTTTCTGCCTCTCAGTGTGTTCCCTGCTCCTGCCCTGGGTGAGAATGTTTAGTTTTTATTGTTTACAGTCAGGTGAAACCATCTCGGGGCGAGTGGGAGCTGGATATATTTACCATTCTTGTCTTTTCACGAGCAAAGCCATTTGTTGCTCAGCTCTAAATGTTTCTTTGGGTTGAAAGAGCAAGTTGTGGGATGTAGATAAAAGTTTGCATTTTGAATAACCGGTGAACTCCTGTTCATTCCCTCCCTGGAAGTGTTGAAGGCCAGGTTGGACGGGGCTTGGAACAACCTGGGGTAGTGGAAGGTGTCCCTGCTCATGGCCAGGGGTGGAACTGGATGAGCTTTAAGGTCCCTTTTAGTCCAAACCAGTCTGATTCTGTGAACTTGGATGACTGGGAATGGCATCCGTGGTTAGAGCTGGTATCAAACCAGAACTGCTGCTCAACTTCTACCCTGGTGTGTGATGACTGGGAGAGAAACTTGTTCTTAGCTGATGGTAAACACAGAGGGAGCAGCTTCCAAAGCCTGATGGGATCAGTCTGTGCCCTGGTGCCCTGCCTGGACATGAGCACCTGCTTTGCTTCTCCTCCTTTGGGGTCTTGTCAGGAGTGAATTTAATCTGCACAGGCTGAACATTTTTTAGAGCTTTTTTTCTTGCTGGTCTTTGTCATGTTTTTTTTTTTCAAAAGACAACCTAATTTTGGGGTTATATGAGTGCTGTATTTTTGGTTGAGAGGGGTTGGTTTGGGGGTTCTTTTTGTTTGTTTGTTGTTTGTTTTTTTTTAAATACTGATTTACGTGGCATCCACCATACATTGGTACTGATAAGAAGCCCAAACAGCCCCTGTGTCCTCTCAGGTGTGGAGAGAGTGTAAAGCATTGTGTCAGAGTTGTTTTCCAAGTCCCTCTGATAGATGATGGGTGTCCTGAAGCCACAAACACCATACCTTGAACTTCCCTGTGTCTGTGGTCCCTGTGTCCAGCTGAAGCAGCTTGGTCTGATGCAGCAAAGATGGAGACAGAGCAACCCTGCGGAAGTTTCTGACCTTCCTTCCCTTAAACAAAACTGGTGGTTTGTGTCTAAACCCTCTCCTTGCTCCCTCTTGAGCACCCTCAGCAGTTGTGCTGCTTGGGAGCTTTGATTCTCTGCCTTGTGGC